GGGGGGGGGCAGGCGCTGGGGGCGGCATGGTGACACTTGATGTTGTGGAGGGACAGGGGAGGTTCAAGGGACAGTTCAGGGTCGCACTTTGGAGTGGCAGCGTGGCTCTGGAGGGGGTTAAAGATGCCTTTTTTCCCTCGCACAGGTCTCAACTATGACTGAGATGAAGAGCTACTCACAGGCAGTCACTGGAGTGAGTACAGCCCACACGCACACACGTGTGTGTGTGTACACCCACATGTGTGACCTGCGGGGAGGGAGAAGAGAATTGAATCCTCTTTCCCTGGGGAAATGGTGTGTCCCTGTAGTCCTGCCTGTCCTGCGGCTGCTGGGATTCTCCAGAAGGATCAGCCTGCAGGGGAGGGAATACTCTGGGGAGGAGATGCGGGACCCTGCATGCCCGTGGGCTCACAGCTTCGGCCTTTCCTCCACGGAGCCTGGCCCCATGTGAAACCTGCGGGAAAGGGCACCCTCCTGGGGGTTCCCTGGGGATCTTTCTGGGGTTCGTTCTCTCCCAGGGGAGATCCCTGCGGGGACCACTGCCGACCAGCCCTGCTCTCCCTTGCAGTTCTTTGCCAGCATGCTGACCTACCCCTTCGTGCTGGTCTCCAACCTGATGGCCGTTAATAACTGCGGGTGAGTCTGCTGCCACCCCAGGGGGGGCTGGCTTGGGTGACAGCCGCGTCCCGCTGCACCTGATCAACTCCTGGTTAGCAACAAGGTTTTAAACTCCCGCTGGGGTTGATCCCTCAGTGGTAGCACTGCGGTGGGGGGGAGCCTGGCCTTGAAAGGGCTATTTTGGGGTTCAGCCCAACGTAGAGCTGCAGAAGGGATGGGTCCTACCCTACCAGCTTGGCCCTGGTGGAAATAATTCCCCGTGCATCTCCTCTCCCTCCCCCAGGCTGGCCGGGGGCCTCCTCCCCTACGCACCTACCTACTCCTCCTGGCTGGACTGCTGGGGCCAGCTGCACAGGGAGGTAAGTAGCCATAGCCAGGAAGTGCCAGGATGCTGCCTGGCCATCAAGAAAAGGCACATGGGAGCCCTGTGGGGTTTGGGGGGGACCACAGCGGGGCTTGGGGTAGCCCTGACTCACCCTCTGGTCGCCATCTTCCCCCTTCCAGGGCAACATGAGCCGAGGGAACAGCCTGTTTTTCCGCAAGGTGCCCGCAGGGAAGCGATATGTGTGGGAGGAGAGGAGGTTTCGCTGAAACTGAAGCCAAGAGGGGAGTTGTGAAGCCAATGTGGGGCTCTGGAGACAAAGAATTATGAGAGAGTGGTGATTTCTATACAGTTTTTTTAAAAATCATTTAATGCTGAGAGATAAAGACGTCTGAGAGTGTCTGTCATGGGGCCGGGGGCTTCCTGGGCGTTGCTGGCCCTTGTCCGGCGTTCCTTCCCTGATCCGACCACCTTAGCAATGTCCCTATATTCCCTACATATTCCCTATATTCACTGTTCTTCACCCGACCCCAGTACAGCGCGCTGGATCCGTCCCACGAGCCATGGTCCCGTCTGCCCTTCTGTCCCCCTCTTCTTTTAAAGACCAGTTGTACCAGTGTCACAGTCCAACTAGCCCAGGGGCTGCCACCAGCCTGGGTGGGGTCGGAGGTGGCTCGTTAATGGCTGCAGCTAATTGTGGGGTGGTGGCAGAGTCCTGGGAGGGGAGCGCAGCTGGGTGTGCCTCAGTTTGCCCTCCCTCTCGGGGCTGTAGCAGTGGGGGTGGAGATCGGATCGATCCCAGCGTTGGCAGTTTCTGGGTGCAGCACCTGTGGGGGTGTCACAGCACCCTTGGGCACGAGGAGACAGGCAGCTGGTGATGGGGGGAGGGATGGTGACATGGCTGGGCTGTGAAAAGAGGGGAGCAAGGTGTTGTACACCCTGTCAGAGGGTTGTATGCCCGGTGGGGTGGTTCCACAGCCAGGACAAGGTTGTGCAGCTGTGGGGAGAAGGTGCTTGCACACCCAGCAGGAGGGTTGCACAGCTGGAGAGTGGGTCATACACCCGGTGGGAGGGCTGCACACATGGCGAAGGGGTTGTTGCACACCCAGACAAGAGGTTATTGCACATGTGGGAGGGTACAAAGCTGGGCGGTGGGTTGCACACCTGGCAGGGGTTGTTCCACACTCAGTGTGGTTGTTGCACACCCAGCAAGAGGGTTGCACGGCCAGAGCCGGGCTTGCCCACCCTTCGTGGGTGGGTTGCCCACCCTTCGTGGGTGGGTTGCACACCCGGCGGAGGCATTGCGGCCCGGGCGGGGCTGTCCCACAGCCGTTGTAGGCGGGGCCGGGGGCGGGCGGTCTCGGA